AAAACTTATTAAATGTATATTGCATTTGCCAAAGTAAATAAATCTGTAGAAATTTACAGCTGGATCTTTGCACTTTTGCAACATAAACTCGCATTTCAAAGCGATTCAGCCATCTTTCATAAAGGGCACAGCCTTCTGTAGAAGTTCAGTTATCCTGAATTGACCTAATGTAATTATTAAGGGCATCATTTTTGGGAGTGTAAAATGGAACAATAATTTATAAACCTATAGGTTTAGGCTACAAAAGGCCATGACCATGCCTGCACAGTGCCTCCCAACCCCATTTCAAATATCTATTTTACAACTTAAAAGGTTAGATCGCCCATGAATTAAATTTCTAATAAATTTATGAATTTCTCTCTGTTGAACACAAAACAAGATATTTGACTATATAAGACTGTCAAATCCATAAAAAAAAATAATTACTATAATATGATGTCAGTTGCTGTTTTTTTTTTCTCAAGATGCTTCAGTCTCTTTCTTTGTGCTCAACAGAAGAAAAAAATCTCAAACAGGTTTAGGCCTAATAAAGGGTGAGTAAATTACAGACTTTTCCATTTTAAGTAAACATTTTAAAACATATATTTCACACAATAAAAAGCAAATAAAAAGTCTGCGTCTCTCTGTGTCGCTCAGGCTGCACTGCAGTGTCTATTCACAGGCGCGATCCCACTACTGATCTGCACGGGGGCTTTGACCTGCTCCGTCTCCGACCTGGGCCGGTTCACCCCTCCTTAGACGACCTGGTGATCCCAAGCTCCCTCGGGAGAACCATATCTATACCGAACTTAGTGCGGACTCCCGATCGACATAGTCCACTGCAGCCCAGAAGCCCTGAGCTCAAGCCATCCGCAGCCTCAGCCTCCCAGTAACTTGGATTACAGGCGCGCGCCACTGAACCCGGCGAGAGCTGAGAGAATCAGAGCTGTGAAAAATCTGATCATCACAGCGACCTCTAGTGGAGGAAAACTGATGTCTGCTAATGTTATGCTTATTGTCCAAGATAACCAACTTTTTTTGGTTTTTATCTAAAGTTGAGTGGTAAATAAATTAGTAGCTATATCAAATAGATTTTGCAATTAGCATAACACACTAAATCAAGCGATCAAACCACTGCTTAAACTCTCTAAATTTCCATCAGATAAATACCATTCAATATTGTTTGGTTTTTACTCATTTAAGGACACGTACAATAAACAATGATTCCTTTTCCATTTGAAAATAGGTTTGAATATAATTAGGCTATGTAAAGTAGCCTATCTAATTTACATTTTTTTAAACACTTTTTAATTATCTGAAAAAAGTTAAACTTAAAAACAGGCTGAGAAAAAATAATTAGGAATTCCCTTTAATAAAGTTTGTTATTAAACAAGAATTAAACTATAGAGGGACCTGTTTAATCTACAGTACTACCTTTTGTCCAAAAAACTGCAGTCAATTAGAGTCTCCATGCAGGCAAGGTGGAGACCCCATCTTATTATTACTCTAAAACTGAACTGCTATAACTTAAAGACAATTTTTTTAAGTTTTATGGACAGATAGACTGAGAGTGAGTTCAGAAGATCCAACACGTCAAGTCAAAGCCATGATGGTGAGGAAAGACACCTTAAAAGTTAGACTCATAATAAACTCCCAAAGCTACTGCCACACATCAGAAGATAAATTCTTTTGACAGTACTAATGAAAGTTGTGGGTCCCTACATTTCCATTTTTGGACCGTTTTACCAGCAAATGAATCTTGAATGCACCAATAAGCAAGGCAATTTTTACTTCCTTTTAAACAAATTACATCACTTAAGAATGAGCATAAACTAAATTAATATTTGTTATGAAAATAAATGTATTTTGAAATTGTTAAAAAATTAAAATTTTTCTTGAGAATTATAATTATGCATGCACTAGATCATTATTTAGGCTATGATTTTTTAATTGTGTTTTGTCCATAAGGGTTTTCATGTTGTGTTGCTTTGTGGTTTTTATTTCACATGCTATAGTGTACTAAATATGTCTCCAGCATTAGGCCTAAATAAATGATTAAAGTGATGATGGCTTATGTTTTGATTATTTTAATAGAGTAGTTTGTTTAAATGGTCAAAGAACACAAATAAAAAGTCTGCGTCTCTCTGTGTCGCTCAGGCTGCACTGCAGTGTCTATTCACAGGTGCGAACCCACTACTGATCAGCACGGGGGCTTTGACCTGCTCCGTCTCCGACCTGGGCCGGTTCACCCCTCTTTAGACGACCTGGTGATCCTGAGCTCCCTCAGGAGCACCATATCGACACTGAACTTAGTGCGGACTCCCGATCGACATAATACACTGCAGTCCAGAAGCCCTGAGCTCAAGCGATCCGCAGACTCAGCCTCCTAGTAACTTGGATTACAGGCGCGCGCCACTGAACCCGGCGAGAGCTGAGAGAATCAGAGCTGTGGAGAATCTGATCATCACAGCGACCTCTAGTGGAGGAAAACTGATGTCTGCTAATGTTATGCTCATAGTCCAAGATAACCCCCTTTTTTTGGTGTTTATCAAAAGTTGAGTGGTAGATAAATTAGTAGCTATATCAAATAGATTTAGCAATTAGCATAACACACTAAATCAAGCGATCAAACAACTGCTTAAACTCTCTAAATTTCCATCAGATAAATACCATTCAATATTGTTTGGTGTTTACTCATTTATGGACACGTTCAATCACCAATGATTCATTTTCCGTTTGAAAATAGGTTTGAAAATTATCATGTAAAGTAGCCTATCTAATTTACATTTTTTAAACACTGTAATTAAAAACACAGAATAAATGACATAATAAATTTAATTAGAATTACACACAGTATATGCATAATTATTATACCCCCTTTTATGATCACATTTACACTTGTATTTCATTAGTTTTATCAATTGCAATTTTATAATATCTAGGCTATTATTCATTTTGTTTATAAGTTTTCACTAAAAAGCGATTTTTACTGGGATTGAGCATGATTTTGCATTCATAACCGAGCAGTATTCATTTAACAGCTAGAATGATCTAAAAACAAAATGTAATTTGCACTCAGATGTTAAAAACAGATAAATGTCCACAAGAAAGAAGCAAAAGAAACTTCCAAATACAAGCCAAACTACTGGATAAAAGATCCAGGGCAATTATTAAGAAAATAAAAATAAACTAAAAACAGGCTGAGAAAAAAAAATAGGAATTTCATTTAATAATTTTTTTGTTAAACAAGAATTAAACTATAGGAGGACCTGTTTAATCAGTACTACCTTTTGTCCAAAAAGCTGCAGTCAATTAGAGTTTCCATGCAGACGTACAAAGTGCAGACCCCCATCTTCTGAACTGCAATAACTTAGATAAAGACAATTTTTTAAAAGCTTTATGGACAGATAGACTGAGAGTGAGTTTAGAAGATTCAGCACCAGCTCAAGTCAAAGCCATGATGATAAAGAAAGACACCTTTCAGGGTAAACATTAGACTTATAACATGAACTCCCAAAGCTACTGCCACATATCAGAAGATAAATTCTTTTGACAGTAATACTAACTAAAAATTGTGGGTCCCCCTCCATTTCCATTTATAGACCATTTTACCAGCAAATGAGTCTTGAATGCACAAATAAGCAAGCAATTTTTACTTCCTTTTAAACAAAATACATCACTTAATAATGAGCATAGATGAAATTAATATTTGTTATGAAAAGTATGTATTTGGAATGGGATTTTTTTTATTTTATTTTTTTAGACACGCACCACTAAACCCAGCGAGAACTGAGAGAATCAGAGCTGTGGAGAATCTGGTCATCACAGCGACCTCTAGAGGCGTAAAACTGAATGTTTGCTACCGTTATGCTAATAGTCCAAGATAACCTCCATTTTGGTAGTTTATCAAGAATTTACTGGTAAATCAATTAGTAGCTACATCAAATAGATTTAGCAATTATAACCCACAAAATCGAGCAAAAAGCAGCCTCCCAGTAGCTTGGATTACAGGCGCGCGCTTCTAAACCCATCAAGAACTGCATCAGAGCTGTGGAGAATCTGATTGTCACAGTGATCTCTAGTGGAGGAAAACTGAATACTATTAGGCCTCTGGTGGAGGAAAACTGACTGGAAAGGATAAACTAAAGCTTTGCTACTATTTTCAAATTTTCAATTTAAGTTACATTGCATCTACTTGCCTGCTAATTCTCATTAGATTATAAGTAGACTGTTAGGTTGGGGTAAGGATTAGTGTAAATTGACATGTACATGCAAAGTTTCTTAAAGTCAGTTATAGATATTAAGCAGACAGTCTACTCATACTAAAATGGACCATCAAAATAAAGTGTTACCCATGCTTTTGCTAGCACCTATGAATAGCCTACTTTAATTTAGAAACAGCTTCTAACCACGTTTTAACCACTGCACCAAAAAACAAAAAATAAATAAATAAAAAATATAATTAAATATAAAATTCTAAACCAGGCACTAAAATTTTCAGGCTGGTCTGTGTGACCTGTAAAAGGGTGGTGAAACTGCCACAGATGATCTCACATCACCTCAGGGAGTTACCTGTCAGCCAAATCCTTCTTTATTATTATTAAGATGGTGAGTTTATAAAACCCATATCCTTGCATGACTGGCTCAACCTCCTATTTCTGCCTCTAACTGTTAAATGGATTTCCTCTGCTGGCACAACATGCAATAAAAAATGCACAAATGCAAGTAACACAGTGAACCTACTTATCTTATTGCACTCCCTTTATTGTAATTTCTAGAGTGCACACATTTTCGTAGTACATGCAGTCAACACAAATTCCATTGCAGTTTCCTCACCAGGGTGGAACCTTAATACTGGTCTTTAAGTTTCATCTCTGCTGGTGGTGACAGCTGGGTCTGACACACACACTCTCTCACACACACCCTACCTTCATCACCAACCCACGAAGTGCAGGAGCCGCCCTGGATCTCCATCTCTATAAGAGGTCAGAACTGGACTCATAGGTGCCATCCTCGCCAGGACAACTCTAACGGTTTCCTGCAGTATCCTCTCTGGGTTCATCTCATCTCCGTATCCATCCACTATGTCACTCTCTGTTCGCTCAACAACAACCAAAGGTCCCAAGACCGTGACCTCAAAATCTATAGTCACTAAGAGTCGTGGAGGTTCGACATCCTTTCCACATAAAGCCTACAGTGTGTATGGAGGTGGTTTTGGAGGAAGCACTCGCATCTCCTCTACTAGAATTGGAGGCGGTGGAGGATACGGATTTGCTGGAGGACACTGTGGAGGATATGGAGGAGGTTACGGTGGAGGATATAGTGGACCACTTTCCATTTGCGTAATGCCTTCTAGCGGCCTTGGGGATTTCCAGCTGAATGAGAAGGCCACTATGCAGAACCTGAATGATCGTCTGGCGTCCTACCTGGATAAGGTGCGCTCCCTAGAGGCTGCCAATGCCACTCTGGAGAGGCAGATCCGCGAGTACTATGAGAAGAAGGGGCCAGTCGCACAGAGGGACTACAGCCAATACTGGAACACCATCAAGGACCTAAAAGACAAGGTACAGTGGTGATGTTTGAATGAATATGAAGCAAGAAAAGTAAAATCTTAATGTAACAACATTAGTTTAGATATACTGTAAGATGTGAGAAACAGACTGCAGATAATTGCTTGCTTAGTATTATAATCTGTCAATAATGCTCCACAGAATTTTACAGGTTCTGCTATAATTTCTTCAAATGCTTTGTTTTTCAGATTAAAAATGCAACCACGCACAACGCCAACATTCTCCTGCAGATCGACAACTCTAAACTGGCTGCTGATGACTTCAGGCTGAAGTAAGATCCCCAATGTTATTTAAATAAAGTCAGTTTTGTGAATGAAAGGTTTTAGTCAGTAAATAATACTAGGTTTTTTTATAGCTTCATCTTATAAACTGTTCAAAAAAAATAAAGGGGACACTTAGGGACCTATCATACACCTGGCGCAATAAGGCACAAGATGTGTTTTGGCGCAATTTGTTGCTATATTCAGACCAACACAACCCTAATGTTTCCGCTTTGCACCATGTTGTTTAAATAGCATATCCCTTTGCACCATTTTTTAGACCCTTGGGTGTGTCAAGGCACATTGTTGGCGTGTTGCTATTTTGAGGAACTAAAAAAAATTGCGCAATTGACCAGCTGAAAACAGAGCATGTTAAAGTTTGCTATCCACAAAAGTAAAGAAGTAACGAGTAAAAGTAAAGTAAAGAGAAAGTAAAGAGGCCGAATGGAGATGACGCTGTCAATCATTTTCTTGCCTGTGAAACATTCAGTTTTTCCACTTACAAAGTCCGCCATGTAAATAGCAAATGCACCATGGAATGACGCAACTGACTCTTAAAGGGAATAGAAGATGAATCTCTGATTAGTTTAATGCACATTCTGCTCAAAACACACCCATAACTCTTTAAGAGAAAAAGCACAACCTTGTTAGACCATGTGCCAGGGTGCAGAGTGTATTTTTCCGTCCTTAAAATAGTAAAAGTGTTCCCTTTTTTAGCAGTATGTATACATATCTTATAAGTTTAACAATTTAACTTAATGTTTCTCTAAAATATTTCTGAAGACATACAATAAAGTGATTATTAAAGACACATACCATAAAGAGATGTTTAATGTTAATATATAAATATATATATATATATATATTTTTTTTTTTTTTTTTTTTTTACTTTTTTTTTTACTTTTTTCTATAAAAGAATCTTGAAAGCAAATGTATCACCACCAAAATGTTAAGCACCACATTTGTTTTTAGCACTGATAAAAAGAAATGTTTCTGAAGGTTCTTATGACTAAAGACAAAATGAAGCTGTGGATCTAATATATTAAAACATTGTCCTTAATTGAGAGAGTGCCTCATGCAGGCAATATAAGTAAAAGTGCTAATAACAGTCAAATCTGTTTTTGAACATCAGTATGTGCACATTTGTCATGTTTACTAATTTATTTCCTATGTGACCTCTCCACCAATCAGATTCGAGCATGAGGTTGTGATGCGCCAGTGTGTAGAATCTGACATCGCTAACCTGCGCCGCTTGCTGGACCAGACGAACCTGGCAAAGAATGACCTACAGATGCAGATCAAGGGTCTGGAGGAAGAGCTGGTATTTTTGAAGAAGAACCACCAAGAGGTTTGCATGACAGATTGTACCCATATATTATATTATATTATATTATATTATATTATATTATATTATATTATATATTTTTTTATTATATTATATTATATTTATTATATTATATCAAGTTATATTATATTATATTATATTATATTATATTATATTATATTATATTATATTATATTATGGGGTTACAGGAGATGGCTGCACTGAGGTGTCAGCTGACAGGCACGGTGAACGTCGAGGTCGATGCTGCTCCTCAACAAGATCTGAACAAGGTTCTGGAGGAGATTCGTACTCATTACGAGAACATTATTCAGAAACACCGCAGGGAACAGGAAGCCTGGTTTAAAGACAAGGTAAGACTTCTGATTGCTCTCTTGAATCCCATGTTTGTGAATGGCATCTTAGTGCATGGTAGCAGTCAGATTTACTAAATTCAATTTTACTCAAATGTAACTAAAATGTTATGCGATTATTACACCTGATTTCCCCATATGCAATGCTTTTATCTGTTTTAGACGGCACCATTGAACAAAGAGGTGGCTCACAGTACAGAGACCATCCAAACATCCAGGTCACAGATCACAGAGCTGCGAAACACATTGCAGAGTTTGGAGATCGAGCTACAGTCTCAGCTCAGCATGGTGAGACACAAGTATAACGTAGAGTGAGAAATATTAGATAAATCTTGTAATCAACTATAATGTGAGACTTTAAGATTCAGACTAAGGAAGCTTGATTAAGATTGTTGTGCCTGTTCTCTTTTTTAAACAGAAAGCAGCACTGGAGCACTCACTGGCAGAAACAGAAGCTAGGTACAGTGCTATGCTAGCAGGCTTCCAAAATCAAATCAACAACCTGGAAGCTGAGTTGGCTCAGTTGAGAGCTAGCATTGAACAGCAGGGCCGAGACTACGCCTTGTTGCTGGACATCAAGACTCGTCTGGAGCAGGAGATCGCCACCTACAGGAACCTTCTGGAAAACCAGGACATTAGGTGAGGCCACTTATTGTGTTGGAATCAGCGAGGTATGGACCATGCTTCATTATCTTGCCCTGGAGTCTTCACTAAATATTTTTGTCTTCGCCTTTCTTTTGCAGGACTCAAATTCCAGGTAACTGAAACTTCTCTTTGATATTGGTAAGATGTCCAGTTTCAGGCAATGTGTGCGATTAATGACTGTTTCTCTTTTGTCCTTCAGTGTCCATCTCTGTCTCAGGTGGCTCTCAGTCCGTCTCATCAGGTGGATCTCACTCTGTTTCCTCTGGAGGTTCCCACACTATCTCCACTGGTGGACCAACAATCCAAATAAAGCAAACAACCACCACTTCACACCGTACTTATTAAAGACAGAATGTGCTTTGAGACAGTATTTAAACACATGCACACATAAGTGTTTTAGATACACATTTATAACCCAAGTAACAAGGAACCGCAGTATTTTGAACACATTAAAAACACTTACTGCTGTGTTTAAAAAAAAAAACTGTTTCTGAAAATAAAAGTACTGTCTTTAAAATCTCTTTTGTGTGCTTTTTTCACCTAACATGGTCTAAAATTTAAAGCCACTTTCTAGACATGGAAAATAGGCTCATGTGGTGTCATAAGTTTTCATCATGGAACTTTTAACTTCATTATCATTGACAGTGCTCCATGATGTGCCTGTCAGTGATGACTCTGGAACAGAGAACTCATGTATTCATCTAAAACAAAAAGGTTACCTACAGGGTAGCAGGTATAAAAAGCAAATCCACACGTCTGGGCACAGGTGATAAAACAAGATCAAAAGGTCCAACTATGCAGGTTTCAAAACATATCATAAAGTCAAAAAGCAATGCAAACCAGAATCACAAGGAGCTGGCAAAGCAAGTAAGTCATGTTTACATGTACACACAGGGCCGGCGCGTCCATAGAGGCAACCTAGGCGGCCGCCTAGGGTGGCAGAATAGAGAGGGCGGCATCCGAACACCTCCCGCACCACCCGCGACTGCAGTTATATCCGCACCTAGGGCAGCAGAATAGAGAGGGCAACATCCGAACATCTCCCGCACCACCCGCATCCGCAAATATACCCGCGCCTAGGGCGGCAGAATAGGGTTCTTCATTTTGATATTGTCATTTTCGTTTTCACTTTCGGTTTGATGGCGGCGTGATCGTCCTTTGCCTAGAGCGGCAGTTCAGCTTGCTCCGGCCCTGTGTACACATGTACACAGCAAAATACTCTGAGTAAAATTTACTGAGTTCAGAGGGTATTTGGACCCTCTCTAAATTGAGTAAAAGTTACTCAGCAGCAGAGGTAAAGTTAAGGAGACAATAGCCCCTTTCACACAGTAATACCTGTAAATATCTGGATAATTTCCAGAAAGACTTTACCAGTAAATTCAAAAAAGTGTTGTTCACACAGGCGAGGATGTTACGGAATTATTCCGGAAAAGACCGTTCACACATCCATTACAAAATACCGGTAAATTCCAAACGGCTGCGCATGTATTTGTAAACATTTGACTACATTACACACTCTATGGATGGATCAGTATCGTGAACAACTTCGATGAAAACATATAGAAAAACACTTTCGCATGTCGAGAAGTACATCATATGTGTGTGTGCTGGCGCTCACTCCTTCACGGGCACACGCGACACGTCAAGCAACTGCAAGCTGAGCTTGAAAGTAAACAAACAACGGCTTATTATAAGCATCTTACCGATAATTAATTACACAGTTGGCATTAAGAAGGTGCAAAGAAATGCTATCTAACATCTAGCAGCTAAATGTGTCTGGAAAAATATTCAAAGGCTTTTATCTACATAAACCGCGCGGACATGAATGCGTCTGACTGTTCTGATTGGCTAAAGCAGACATTTTACGTCAGCACATTCTAGACGTGCACGCGCTCTTTCCGGCAAATTTCCTTCTGCATTCACACAGAGCAGCATTCCGGCAAATTACCGGTAATGTTTTAACTTCTCTTTGCGGAAAATAGCCGAACGAATTTACCCGTATTTTCAAAAAGGGCCTGTTCACACATACAGACCTTTCCGGAAAATTGCTGGTAATTTTCCGTAACGGTATGTGTGTGTGAAAGGGGCTAATAAAGGGACTACTTAAGGGATGATTGAGCACTGATGATGAACACCTGCTGCTAATAAGCAAAAACCGAAGAGAAACACAAAACTACATCTGCCTTCAGTCACAGCCTTAGATGAAATAAACTGAAATAAAACTCATTGAATCTCTCAAAATCTCAGCAGAGGATCATCAAGCAACTCCACAAACAGCAGCTTTACTTATTACCAACCTGTTTAACCTTGTTTTAGTCAGATTCTACAAAATTTCATGTAGTGATAATATTGAGAATTAACTGATTAAGTAATTTTTTACAACCAATCAGAAAGGAGAAAGCAGCGTGCACATGCTGATGTCAAGTGACAAATACTGCAGTTGTAGTGTCCTGTATACAAAGTTTCATAAAATCTTCACCCTGGCCAGAGTTTTCAAAAAGTTTTGGATTTATTCATCCATGTTCATGTGGACAGGGCCTAAAAAGGGAACATTCCTGTATAAAGGGAATAATGAACAAAGCGGGAACAGCCAGTTATGATCAGACAGACATTCTGGAAACAATCGGAACACAAAGAAAGTAGCCTAGGCAGAGCTGGAGAGACAAGAGAGCAGTAAGAATCAGAAGCCCTCCACAGTGCTGCAAATGATGGCCGAGAAGGCAGAGTAGAATCATTTCTGAAATAGTGAATTCTGAAGTTAACTGGGATGTGACCGATAAATGGACTCAGGAGTGAACTCAGAGGACATAGAGGGCCTGGGTGAATAAGTAACTGTAATATCTAGTTCACTTTCAATCTTACTGCACCTTTCAACAGGTATTGGATGATTTCGAGTATTGTGCTATCAACTTAAAACATGGATTAAATGGAATAAAAATATAATATAATATTATTAATGTAATATTACTATAATAATTGTTATACAATATATTTTAAAATACTGTAATTCGTACAGCAGTGCTGAGGTTTAATCGGTTTCCAAACAGCCTAATAGCATTCAATTTTTCTCCTCTAGAGTTCGCAGTGATGATCAGATTCTCCACAGCTCTGATTCTCTCAGTTCTCACTGGTATCAGTGGTGTGCGCCTGTAATCCAAGCTACTGGGAGGCTGAGGCTACAGATTGCTTGAGCGCAGGGTTCTGGGCTGCAGTGGACTATGTTGTTTGGGTGTCCGCACTAAGTTCGGTCTCGATATGTTGCTTCTGGGGGAGCTCGGGACCACCAGGTCGCCTAAGGAGGGGTACACCAGGTCAGGTCAAAGTCCCTGTGCTGATCGGTAGTAGGATTGTGCCTGTGAATAGACACTGCAGCCTGAGAAACGCAAACTTTTTTGTTTGTCTTTTATTATGGTGATATATATATATATATAATTTTATTTATTGATTTATTTTTTAAACAGTAATAAATTAATATTTAGAGATGCATAATGAAACAACAATAGATTAATAATTATAAATAGGTACATTTTACCCCTACACTTTATAGGCGTTTGTAGTTTTGCACATGTTCTCAAACATAAAGGATGAAATGATTGAATGCGGTGATGCAGTGGCGCATTAGGTAGTGCTGTTGTCTCACAGCAAGAAGGTCACTGGGTTGCAGGTTTGAGCTTCGGCTGGGTCAGTTGCCGTTTCTATGGGGAGTTTGCATGTTCTCCCTGTGTTTGCGTGGGTTTCCTCCAGGTGATCCAGTTTCGCCCACAGTCCAAAGACGTGTGGTACAGGTAAATTGGGTAAGCTGTAGTTTATGAGTGTGTGTGTGGATGTTTCCCAGAGATGAGTTGTCACTGTGTAAAAATGTGCTGGATAAGTTGGTGGTTCAATCCGCTGTGGTTACCCTGAATTAATAAACGGACCAAGCTGAAAAGAAAATGAATGAATGAATGTCAAATGATTACAGTACAACACTTCCTCTTTCTGGAAGTGATATTTCAGTAAGAATTCAGTGACTTAATCCATGACCGCCTGGAGGCGCTGTTTTCGAAATTTTTAATAATATGTTTAATTTAAAAATGAATTTTGGCCAAAATTTGACTTTTCTCAACTTCATTGATTTTATACTCAGATGGAAAATTTATTAAGTTTTTCAACTTTCAATAATTTTCTGTTGACTAGCGGGCATTACCTTTTGGGACGCAGAATCATTTAATATTCACTGACACGGACAAATATGTTGAGGTTTCACTACAGTAACATTTATATTTTCTATTAATTCACACACAGTCAGGGTGACAAAGACTTCAACAAAACCTTTACAAATATTTTACTTGAATTTTGTTACTTGTTGATTCATTTAAATAGGCCAGGTTCAAGTTGGTCACACTAATGTCAGTACTCTATTTTATTAAACCTAAATATTATACCAAAAGACAGTGGTCAAAAAACAGAAGCACCTTATTTTGTGTTATTTTGAAATGTTTATTAAAATCCCAATAGTATACTTCATAAAGGTAATCATGCATTAAATAATTTGTTCAGTGATTTGTTTACTATGTTAATAAAAAACATTTTACTATATATACTTGAATAAAAATTAAAAAAAAACAAAAGTGCAAATAAAAAGTCTGCGTCTCTCAGGCTGCACTGCAGTGTCTATTCACAGGCGCGATCCGACTATTGATCAGCACAGGGGGTTTGACCTGCTCCGTCTCCGACCTGGGCCGGTTCACCCCTCCTTAGACAACCTGGTGGTCCCGGGCTCCCCCAGGAGCACCATATTGATACCGAACTTTGTGTGGACACCTGATCGACATAGTCCACTGCTGCCCAGAAGCCCTGAGCTCAAGCGATCCGCAGCCTCAGCCTCCCAGCAGCTTGGATTACAGGCGCGCGCCACTGAGCCCGGCGGGAGCTGAGAGAATCAGAGCTGTGGAGAATCTGATCATTGCAACGACCTCTAGTGGAGAAAAACTGAATAATGAAGTAAAAAAATTAATTAATAAATTTATATTTTTTAAATAAACATTTTATAGTGATTTGTAGTAAATGTTATAGGGCTTTTTAAATCATACAGTAAAGTTTATTATACTGTATAGTTTAAATAGAAAGTTGGGTTGGGCTATATTTATAGACAACTGCCAAGTGAGATCAACAATGTCTTGATGCAGACTTAGATTTGCAAGCTGAGCCTTTATATTTCAGACATGCAACGTCAGGCACAATGCACTCAACGGAGAAAGTGACCTCACTGTGAGGGGTAGGGTTAAGGTGGGGTTAGGTGTGCACATTAAAAAGCATTGCATGCAGCTCAGCTTTACTGTCATATTTACTGTTATATAGCTGTCATATAGCTTGTAGTAGACAAGACTAAAATAGTAAAGCACAGTGAGAAAGGTTATCAAACTGTTGTTCTTTGCATTACCACAAAAACTGAGTCATTACAAACATATGTTTATATGCAAAAATATTATTTATATGATTTATAATGAATTAAACAAACAAAATCTATATT